TCCAACGCGCCGGGCAGACCTTCCTCGGCCGCCCGAACCCGAGCCTCTAGCGCCTTCCCAGCCTCCAAGGCCGCCACGGCCGCCGATCCGGTGACCCCTACGACCCTTCGGATGCCCTTGGCCACTGCCGTCTCCTCCACCAACACAAAGGCCTGGGCCTCGCCAGTATTCTCCACGTGGGTGCCACCGCAGAACTCCACCGACATCCCTGTCCATTCCTCCTTTTCAGGGTCTTCCAGCAGCGTGTCCACCTCCTCGCCCACCGCCAGGACGCGGACAGGGTCCGGGTATACTTCGCCGAACACGGCGCGAAGCCCATTGATGGTCTGGGCAGCCTCCAACGGCACAACCTGGCTGCGGACGGGCAAATTCGCCTCGATCGTCTGCTGGACGATTGTCTCCACCTGTTCCATCTCCGACGGGGTCAAAGCCTTGCCGTGGCTGAAATCGAAACGGAGCTTCTCCGCGTTCACCAGGGACCCCTTTTGCATCACATGAGGGCCCAGCACTTTCCCCAAAGCAAAGTTCAAGACGTGCGTCATTGTGTGGTTGGGAGCCACCTTCCGCCGCCGGGCATAGTCGACCTGCGCCTGCACCCTCTGCCCGACCCGCAACCTGCCCGATCCCGTCCGTGTTTGCAGCCTCCCACTGTGCAAGACGTAGCCCGCGAAGACTTGCACATCCTCCACCTCCACCTCCCCCCCGTCCTCCGTCACCACCAGCCTCCCCGTGTCGCCCACCTGCCCCCCAGCCTCCGCGTAGAAAGCCGTCCGGTCCAAGATCACCCCTATCAGGGGCGCGTCCTCCTCGCTGCCCCGTACCTCGTCCACAAAGCCGTCGTGGGTGAAAAGCGCCAGCACCCGCCCTTCCTGACCTCCTTCCCACCCGTACTTTTCCGCGTCGTCCGTGTGCTCCACCCCTTTCCCTTGCAGCCAGGCCGTCTCGTCCACTTGCAAGAGTAAAGGCCGCTCTCCCTCCCTCCCGGCCCCGGCCCGGGCCCGCAACGCGGCGGCCTTGCTCCGCTGTTTCGCCTTCTCCATCTCCTTCCCAAAGCCTTCCAGATCCACGTCGAATCCTTCCTCCACCGCCATCAGCCGGGTCAAATCGACGGGGAAGCCCAAGGTGTCGTACAGGAAGAAGGCTTGCTCGGCACTGACCACGGAGCCACCCTGCTTCCGCAAGCCCCCCACCACTTCCTCCCCGAAATACTTGATCCCACGCTCCAGCATCTCCCCGAAGCCCTTCTCCTCGTCCGCGATCACCTCCACGATCCAGGCCTCCTTCTCCCGCAGTTCCGGGTAGAAATCCCCGAAGGCGTCGACCACGGCGGGCACCAACTTGGCAAAAAATCCGGGAGGACCTCCCAAGATCTGCTTCCCGTACCGAACCGCCCGCCGCAGGACACGCCGGAGGACATACCCTCTGCCTTCGTTGGAAGGCAGGGCCCCGTCCGCGATCGCGAACGCCAACGTCCGGACGTGGTCGGCCACCACCCGGTAGGCCGTATCCCTCAACTCCACGTCGTCGGAGCCCAATTTCCCGGCGTAGGCGGGGCCCTGCACCTGGGCCCGGATGGCGGCGAACAAGGGGGCGAAGACATCCGTGTCGTAGTTGCTCCGTTTGTCTTGCATGATGCTGACCAAGCGTTCCAGGCCCATGCCGGTGTCCACGTGCTTGGCAGGCAAAAGGCGGAGGCTTCCCCCTTCCTCCTCCCGGTTGAACTGGATAAAGACCAGGTTCCAAATTTCCAGAACATCCGGGTCGTCTTGGTTGACCAAAGCCGCCGCATCCCGGCCCCCGACCCGGTCGAAATGGATCTCGGAACAGGGACCGCAAGGGCCCGTCTCCCCCATCTCCCAGAAATTCTCCTTCTTCCCAAAGGGCAGGACGCGCTCGGGGGGGAGAAAGCGAAGCCAGAGGTCCCGGGCCTCGTCATCGGGTGGCACGCCCATGGCGGCGTCCCCACCGAAGTACGTCACGTACAAACGGTCCGGTGGGAGGCCGTACACGTCCGTAAGTAGTTCCCAGGCCCATCGGATCGCCTCCTCCTTGAAGTAGTCGCCAAACGACCAGGACCCCAGCATCTCAAAGAACGTGTGGTGGTAGGTGTCCATGCCTACGTCTTCCAGGTCGTTGTGCTTCCCGCCCGCTCGGATGCATTTCTGGGGGGGGATGGGGAGGGACACCGTTTAAGAGGTTCTTTTGGGGGGGATGGGGAGGCACACCTTTAAGAGGCTTTGGACCGCCACGCTCAGATACATTTGAGCGAAATATCGCGGCTCGAACGTCTTTCGGACCACGGCTAAGAACAATTCATCGCCCAATTCCCCACACCAGGCCTACCTGGCTGTTCACCGCCCGCTCCAACTTGGCCAGGGGACTGTTCGGGTCGGCTTGGCCCAGGAAGATGGGCTTGTACTGGTTCATGCCCGCGTTCGCGAACAAGAGGGTGGGGTCAGCGAGGGGGACGACAGGGGAGGATGGAAAGAAGGTATGGCCGTGCTTCTGGACAAAATAGTCCATGAATGTCTGGCGAACTCGGTTGGCGGGCCATTCCTGGTCGCTAGACGAGGTCGCAAAAGGTATTCTCCCATCCCGATGGAGGGAAGGCAGTGGGTACTTGGTGGGGCATCTAGTGGGGGACCACGGGCCATCCAGGCGAGGGCAAGGTGAAATGAGAAGCACGTTCAAGGTATCCGAGGAAAATGCACAAGGAGATAAAAGACTCAGTCAATCATGACAATCACCCTTTATGTTAAACACGGATCCTGAGCGGGCATGCGAGTTGACCGATGCATAAACGTGTCCCCACCTTTTCGGGAGGCTATTTGTCGCAAAGCCAAGGACTTTGCTATGTCGTCCGCGGAGCGGGCTCATAAAGCCACGGCACGACTGCAGCGTGATTGCAAGCATTAGGACGACCGCGTATCGACGTTCTAAAGGAAAAAATAGACGAAGTAAGGGTGGTGGGGTCGAGTAAGAGGAGGTTAAACCCACTTATCCAGGTCGACCACCTCACGATCTCATTCACGTGGGAAGGCTGGGCGCCGCGACGTACCTGAGGGCCACACCCCCTTATAACAAGTCATCGGTTGAGCTCACAGCCCGCTTGCACTAGTATGTACACTCAGAGCCTGTTAGGTAGGGTACGTGTGAGCATGACTCGATCGCGTACGTCGTAGATCCTGCAATGCCTCGTGAGGTCAAAAATGGGCTGTGGGTCAGCAATGAACATCCAGTGAAAAGCATGGCCACCTCTATGAAGGCAGGAAAGTTGTAATACGGCATCTGTGCGAATAATACATTAAAATTGATGGCTTGACCTTCCCTCTTCCCCCTCTACCCCGCGATACCCATCGCCCAGAAGCCAGTGCGCTATTCGACCACCGTATCAATGCTTTCCTGTCCCAGGTATTCACCAATTACAAGTCTAAGAGACTTGTTTGCATCCTTCTCTCGTTTTCACAGGCCCTTACTCTCGGACGATGTCAACTGGGGACGTGGCGGTATTGCTTGGCCATTTGGAAAACCGTGTCAAAACTTTACTTAATCGTCTCACGCAACTCGCTGAGCACTTGAGGCAAATATTGGCCGACCCGGTGCACGCCCGTCCCGATTGGCCGAGCATCGTCACACATTTTCGCGTGAGTGAGACGCAGCTACGGCAATTTCATCGGGATGTACAACCTTTCTTGCAGTACTTCGTCTTTCGCCCGGCCTCCAACCCCGCCAAGCCGCCGCCCCCTCAGGCGGACATCCCACTTATGCTATCCACCCGGTCCTACCTCGAGATGGAAGGCGAAGAAGTACAGCTTCAGGCAGCATATTGGGATCGAGCGCATGCTAGAGAGCACGTGAATCATGGGAGAGACATCCAGGAAAAGGAAAAGGATGGAGAGGGGCAAGGCGGGGTTGAGAAGGTAATCGAAGGTTTTAACGATGCCCTTGAACGAGTAGATGTGGTGTGCGACTGGCTATCCGCCGAGTTCAGGGACAAGATAAAATCGTTCAAGAGCCCTGGTCTTGAGACACCTGCGTGGAGGGACCAGGCGGCAACCGTCGCGGAGAAAGGGTTCAGGTACTTGGAGGCCGTGACCGACGGACACGAATCCTACGCTCCGCTCGCAAGATAGCAATCGTGGAAGGGATGATGCTGGTACAGGGCACGTTGACGCCGGTGTCAAAACGAAAGAAGTGCATTGCAAGGCTAGTAAAAACAAAATTGCGTGGAGGTGTCCGCATTGAATTTGCTTACCATATTTGTTTAATGACTTTATTCTTGTTCACTGTTTGGACCGTTGAAAAACGTTGAAACGCGGCAAAGCTTCCGATGGCAGTATCATTCCCGTGATCTACCTTGCATTTCTCTATGCTAGTTTTTCCTTAACCAAATCGCACTACCCCCCTTCTGTCAACAACAGGCCTCCTGTCGCTTCTTTCAGCCCTCCGATTCCCTTCCCCCTCCCTCGTCGCAGCGACTCAACTTGACTCGACCGACGCCTCTTCCGAGGTGCACGCACGTCATGTTGAATCGCTTGACCGTTTTTCCACCCCAGTACCGCCCTGCCGGGCTCGTCTCGCGCCCTCTCCGAGTCCACCTCCCGGGGCTCTTAGCCCAGGATTTCCGCCTGTCCTCGCCACGCGCGACAAGATAAAGGGGTCTCGACGGAGCAGGGGCGGGAAGTAGAGGCGAGCAGCGGACACGGAGGACAGCATGCGTCGAGCATGAGTGTGCTTGACGAGTGAGCTCCTTCACTGTAAGAGCTGCTGGGTGCTCCCCCTGGTCCTAGGTTATGTTTCCTCCTTCCACGGCAAGACTTCTTCATGAGCATTGCGCCTTCTCGGGCATAATTTCTTCAGATGTACAACATGTAAAATATCTCAGACGACTCTATTCTTGCCCCGGGCTTTTTGGGTCGTGTACGCCGAATACATCCCCGTCTGGATGAAGTCCTTCTCCCACTTAAGATACAACCGCGCCGCCCTCCCTCCCTCCCTCCCTCCCCGTCATCTGAATGCCAGCACCGTGGGGTAGTCGTTGGGAAAACTGGGGTCGTGCAGGGATGTGAGCCCCCCCATGTAGTGAGTCACGTACCCCCCCGTGTAGACGGGGAAGAGCCGGAGACGGGCCCCGATCGGACCCTGAGTTTTGGTCTCGTACAGGACGATCAAAGAGTGGGACAACTGCTTGGCGATGCATTCGTAGGCAAATTGGATGAATTGCCAGGCCGAATCCACCGGCGCCTCCGCCTCCCCTGCACCTCTTCCTTCCCGCCCTCCCCCCGCGCCTGGGACGGGGCACAACGGGTTCCGTTCCAAGACCACGCATCGGTTCTGGCAATCTTCCACCGTGACGCCGTAGTGCATCATCCAGGCCTCGTTGATACTCCGGATTCGGAAAGGGACCTGGAGGGCAAAGACGATCCGGGGCTCCTCCGTGGGGTCTTCGGCCATCTGCAACGTGGACGGCGCGGTTTGAAAGAGGGCTCCTCCCCCCATTCGTCGGAGCTGCTGCATCAAGCCCATCACGTCAAACATCACGTTCAGCCTCTTCAGCTTCACCTCTCTGGGTTCAAACTCGGCCTGAAGCATGCCGCAGAGCTCCAATTCCGTCTGGCACCCGCAGGCGACCGCGTTCTCACTCCGCATCGTCCACCGACACATGAGTGTGGGCCCGGTGCCGATGACGATGTAGTCCGCCTCCGAATAAAATTGGACACGGACACGCTCCCGGTAGGTCCGGGACAGCGAGTCGATGAGGACGGTGAAAGAGGCCGTGTCTCGGATGGTCGCGTCGATCCCTCGGACGTAGCGTGCGTGCTGTTCCACGTCGCCCGCGGGGAAGTAACGGTAGGGCGTCAAGGGCAACTTCAAGACGAAATCTTCTGCGAGGAGGACCGCCCATTTTCTCCGGTCCAGTTCGCCCCGTGCTCGGTAGAGCAAAAAGGTCTGCAGCCGCGCCTTTTTCAATTTGCGGCCCTCCAGGCTCCGGACATGGGAGACAAGCTCCGTCTTGTCCTCCTTGTCCTTGGCATCGCTCAGAGACTGCAGTTGATGGCGTAGCGTCTCAATGTAGGCTTTCTTCCGGAGTCGCGTGTTCCGGGCATGTTCGCGGTTCCGCAGCTTCTGGGAATCCACGCTCGCCTTCCCAGCGCCCTCTCCCCCCTCCCCCTCCAGGACCCCACCATGTCCCCCCCTCGGATGTGACTTCTTGCTTCCTCCTTTTCTCTCCTCATGGCGCTTGCTTCCTTTTCCCACTGAGATGGCTAAGCGGGAATCACCGTCTCCATCGTCGTCATCGAAGTCGTCGGCTAAGCTGCTGCTGGCATCCGAGACTCCAAACCCGCTCCCTTGGCTGCCCCCGCTTTTCAACCCCGCACTCACCACTCCTTCTTCCGAGGCCCCACTGTGCGATAGCATGCCTTGTACAGCGGCGGGCAAGGGTACCTCATCATCGAGCGGGGTCTGTAAGTGCATCTGTCCGTCGTCACTCAGAGACCGCTCGCCCCCGTTTCCCCCCCTTCCTTCGCCCCCTGCCTCTTGCCATCCCGACATCATGGCAACCACGTCGTCCATAGGAAGGTAGTCTGCGTAGTTGTCGAATTGATTGAACAATGTCTCCGTCAATTCGTCGTCTGCTTGTTGGAATGCTGGGGCTTCCATCTGGCCCCCATTGCCCGTGTTGGACGCAGGCCTCGTCAGGGCTCCCGAGGCAGAATTTCGTGACTTCTTGTCTCGGCCGAGATGGGCGCTCCTCCCATCCCTACCGTCATTTCCATTGCTGCTCTTTCTATAATCATTCCCGACACTCGAATTTTGTCGCTCCGCCCGACTTCCGAGGTCGTTTATTCCGCCCCCGCGGCTACCGTCCACCCCCTGACCCTTCATGCCTCGTGCACTCATGAAACTCCTCTTCCCTGAAAGACAGAGACGACAAATAATCACAAGATCACGCAATGGCACTCGTGGGGGAGATGGTTTTTTTCCAAGTAAAGTTTGTGAGGGTGAATATCCCCCGTTCCTGACGGGTGCTGGAACAAGAACACGGTAATTCAAGAAGGAAATCAGGTGGCTTGCTGGCTGAGCTCACGCGACCGAAGACGAGCCCCAATGCGGCCGTTCAATCGACGCCGTACATTTACCAAAGTGTGTCTCGCCCGGAAGCGTCGCGCTGTGACAAGGAAAAAGTTGGCGTGAGGCGTGGCGATGGGGCGTGCAAGTCGCAGGGACATGGCTGCCGTCGGCGTAGAAGAGACATGCGAGTTGAGGTGGTAAGCTCTCTCGTATCGCTCTCGCTGCTTCGAACCGACAGTTGACCTGCGTCAACTCGGGGACACGCGCCGCGAGGAAAACAAAAAACGGCCGTGACAGGAAGCGATTGTGTGGACAGCACGCAGCTCCATGCCTTGTCCAAGGCGTAATGATTTGTCTTTGGTTCAGATGTTGTGGAAGTAGCCCGAGATTTCTGCGTCACAGCAGAAACTCCGGGGAGGTTAACATATCAGCTCCAAGAGTATCTCGCAGACAAGGTGAAAAGATGGAGAAAACCAGTCGAAATGATAGGAGGGTTAAAAAAATTACGAATGATTCATTAATGTAGTCCTTTCCATTATGCGCGCTTGTCTGAGGAAAAGATTTTTGATCGAAGCACCTTCACTTCCTGTGAAGTGATGCTGTCCTCTTTAGTTGCTTGACCTTCGCATTCATCCTCGACAGCCGACAATGTTAAAACAAAAAATAGGCCATGTAAGACTGATTTATTTCGTCGAGAGTGAGCGGTTGTGCGCGATTCTCGTCCAATAGAGAACAATGCATGGTCTCATTTTCGCTCTTTGAGTATTGAGATGTACTACTCGTCCTAGCAAACCCCGGATACAGAAAGCACACCGAAAATTTGGACAGTAAGATATGTTAATCTTTCATGAAAAAGGAATGGAAGTAACGGGATCAACTCCTTTCTCACGACGTCTGCAACAAGGCAGTCTTCAGGTGCAATGTTACAGAGGGCATTAGCTTCATTTTAACATTCGGAGGCATTTTCTACACTTATTCGCAATAAATCGCCTGTCAAACAGTCGTGATCATTGTCCCGTCCTCTCCGTCCTTCTCATCCGCCCTGGCTTCACCATTCTCCGGCAACAAGGGCGTCGAGGCCCCCCCCGCTCCCCGCCCGGTCTTCTTATCTCCCTTCTCCGTCACCGCTTCCCTCCCTCCCTCCCAACCCAATGTCCCCCACGTGACACCCGCACCCAGCAAGGCAATGGCTGCGCACATGCCCAACACTCCCTCCAACGTCCACGCGTCCAGCAACAAAGGGAAGCAGTAGCCTCCAACCCATCCCCCCACCTTGCCCGCAGCTGCCGCCACTCCATTCAAGGTCGCCTTGACTTCCCGGGGGAAGAGCTTTGAAGGAAAGAGGTAGGTGGTGGCGCCCGGTCCGAAATTGAAGAAGGTGAAGCTCAATCCAAAGAAAACCAACGCCCAGCCCCCTTGTCCGGCGTTCGTCAGCCGCTCTCCGCACACGGCCAGCACCAAGTACAGGGTGGCACAGATGACGAATCCCTGAATTTGAACAAAGCGGGGCCCCAGACGAGGAATGAGCCACACGGAGAGGAAATACCCGGGCAGGGCAATGAGAGCAAGGATGAGGCTGGTCTCAGCCTCCAGTAAGAAGGAAGGGCGGGTGCTGTCCTCGCCTCCCCCACTGCTCCGCCCGCCCCCACGGTCACCCCCGTTGTCATGTCTTCGCACGTCCGAGGGCGACTTGTCCTGGAAAAGAGCCGTCCCAATCACGGGCTGGAAAAGGGTGTTCCCAAAGAAGCACACATCGTACAAAAACCACGTCAGACAACACCCCACCAGCTCCCGAAGAATTCTTCCGTCGCGCAAGGCCTCCCTCAGGGCGTGCGAGGCTGCCCTGGCTCCAGCACCGGCGTCCAATTCCTCCTCTTTCGGCCTGCACGAGGAGGAGGGGAGGGAGGGGGGGAGGGAGGGAGGGTCGAGGGCCACCTGTGCCTCCTCCTCTGTCCCTGAGGCCGTGTCCTCCACCACGTCATCCAAAAGGGACAATCGGGGCCGAGCAGGCTTGCGAAAGCCCTTGGGGCGGCAAAGGCTTGGCCCTGTCCTCCCTAAGGAACGGCGCCGGTGGATCCACCAGGTTGCGCCCAGGACGACGACCCCTGGCAGGGCCCCGAGGCCGAGCAGGAATCGGAAAGCAAATTGGTCCGCCCCCCGGTTCGTGGACGATGAGTCTGGGAGGGCCTGAGTGAGAGGAGCCCAGGATTGAAGTCCGGTGGACCTGTCGGCTTGAAGAGGGAGGACCAAGGCCAATACGAGTGCCACGGCGTTCATGGTCACGAACGCGACTCCTTGCATGGAGAAGACCAACGCAACCGGGCGGTCCGTCTTGCTTCCTTCACAGCCATGTCTAGCACCGTGATCTGCAGAAAGGGTAGCCTCAATGGGGCCTACATTTGATCCCTCTGTCCCCTCGTGCCCCCCCGATCTCTCAGAGGCAGGCGGGGGTCGCGCGACCGCCGATGCATTCCAAGACATGGCCGCAGCCAGTGGATAAACACCTCCTGCACCCATCCCGAGCACAAAGCGTGCCCCTGCCAGCTGCCAGTAGACTTGAGGAGGCGTCACCAACGTGCTTCCCAGCGCCGCGACCACTTGAAGGACGATGGTCAAGGTGAAGGCACGGGACACTCCCATGACATCACCCAAGAAGCCCCCTACAAGTTGGCCGATGATCATACCTGTGAGGGTGCAGCCGCCACAGTGTGTGCGTGGGAGGAATTAGACAGAGGTGGGAAAGGAGGAAGCGGCCCACATATTGAACATCGCGTACCCGCAAACATCGTCGAGGCACACAGGGACTTGTGCGACTCGGATAACGGGTAGAGACCATCCATCAAGAGTAAGACCAAGGAGATGTTGACGATATTGTAGGCCGTGCAAAAGCTGCCCAGGTTTGAAATGATGACCTCCAGGTTGGGATAAGTCACGGTGCGGGGCTTCGAGGAGGGCGGGGGGGGGGTGCCCGGAAGGCGGAAAAGTCAGAGGCCATGACAAGAACCGCACAACGACGTCCTCCAGTAGGGAAGTAATGCTATGGAGGCTGTGGCTGCATCGTCTGGAAGTATGGAATCTCTGTGAATTGTAAAAAAAACGGAACGTGAGGGCGTGTTTCTCATCTCGAAACTCACACTGTACCGGAAGTCGCTCCATGCCGGTGTCAAAACATGTCCGTCGTCAAAAAAATAATCCCTTCCTTTGCCCCCCCCAAAATGCACGAAGCATGCACATCCCTCCTGGCCTGCCTCAGTGCGTCTACATGCTGCCACCGGTACCTGGTGTGCACGCGTCGTCATCGTTTACGCGGACGATACTTTGGGGTACTTTTCCGGCCCCCCCTCCCAGAGCTTACGTGGACCCCACGGAGGCGGCGAACTCGCGTCGCTTTCCCCCTTGACTGGGGAAAATTGTCCGCGTCTTTGCACGCCATTTTTTTCGTGTTGGGAGCACGGTGGACAGCTGGAGAAGTGGGGGATATTCTGCGGCAGGTTGTCGGTTTGTCAGGCGCTTTCCGTGCGTGGTTACTTGGGCATGTGCCTTGACATCTTCCGGTGTCAAGGACAATTCAAGGTGGAGGAACCTGCAGGCACACGGATGTGATTCGCCCCTGAATTCCCCACCTTTTGGGCAGTAAGGACATGAACAACAATGCAGACGACCCCAGGGATTCGATGCTTGCGTGATGTTGTCCTGGTGGACTTTCAGGGGCGTGACATGACTTTGACTTTGCCAACTAAACCGCAGAGTAGCCAGAGGGAGGGTTCCAGATATGCTATGACGATGCCCTAGACCTCCTCGACCGCAGCCTTTTACTTTCGTCTTCTTTTCAACCCCGCTCAGTTTCTCTTACCATGTCCCTTATTTTACATGTGCACAGGGCTTGGATGCCCCGCGGGTGCGGGTGATCAACGCTACGTGGATTGTTGTATCTTCCTGAGATTCTTATTTATCATCGGCGGTTCCACCTTCATTCGATCGGCTTGCACACCTGACCGTGTCAGCAACAGCAACTTGACAAATATTCTAGCTGGACATTAGTTTGAAGGAGCTAGCAAGACGGTAGCGGGACCATCTCCTTGTCGGTAGAGGTCGTTTGCATCGTCGTATC